ACGTATTTTCGCCTTTGAAGAGTTGGCGTTGCTTCGCATCCGTTTGCGTTTCGGGATTCCTGTCCCGACGATGAACGGATGCAAAGGAGACTACTTCTGTAGGCACAAGCAACAAAAATCAAACTTGAATTTTTCAAATTATTGCTTTCTTATTATATGTTTAAAATGTAGTCAAAACTATGCAGTTTTGTGTTAATTCAATATTTGAAAAATTTATATCAGTCAGTGAACGTAACTGTGATATTATATGTACATGTACTTTCCTTTCTAGAGGTGACTTTGCTATTAATAGTATTTAATGGTCAGATGATGATGTTAATGAGGTCGATCGACGACAAAATATTAATTAACTCCATTGTATTATATTTCATGAAGTAAATAAATAAATTACATGCATATATACATGCATGCATGGATGCATGAGTGAGCCTGGACAATAATCCAAGCAAATGTCACCCGATGTATGGCAATAAGTTCCATATGGAAAAAAATGTCATAATTAGAGCTGTCCGCGTCTGCAAGTGGGGCTTTGACGTTATACGGCAGGGCTCGAAATAGCGGCCTGCCACTTGCCAATTGACGGGCCAAATGTAGTACTTGTCGGGAACTTGTCGGGACAAAAAGAAAATGGCAGGCCAAAAATATCAAAAATATCTACTGTGTATGTGCAATGAATATCGAGTGATTTGAAAATCAGTACTATCAATTTGGAAAGAGTTAGTTTACTCTCATCTTCGTGCAATACTCCAATTTCGAGTTCTGTTTTGCTCTGTGTTAGCCCCAAAACCAAGTAACATATTCTTTTGTTCCATAGATAGCTCGAGAAAACGCATAGAATTTTGTGAAGAAAGACAATAGAATTGATTTGAAATCTCACACTTTTATTCTCACAATTAGGAATATTTTGCGCACAAATGAGGCTAACACAGAGCACTGGAGAATTCGAAACTGGAGTATTAGAATTATCGATGTTTGTTTGAATGTGTACAGCGGTTTTTTCGTATAATTTACCAGTCATTCATTTGGGTGCCTGAACTACTCGTGGCTAGCAACGAAGAAAATGTCGGAGTATGCAGAAGTATTGGTAGGAATGAATAGTTTAAGTTGCTAACCGTATTTACTTTACTTTATTTAATAGACGCCGCGTCGTTTATTTAATATTTCACGATCCAGATGCTGGGTTTATTGAGGGCGGCGTCTATTCGGGGACGGCGTTTATATAAAAAAAGAACACTTTATTCAGTACTACATACCGTTCTTTAAGCCTATATTGGATTTTTGTGCTAACAAACACTAACGAATCTCAATAGATCCCTTGCATGTGACGTCAAAGAAGCTTCATCTGGAGGACAAAAAAAAAAAAAAGATTTTTGCCCTCTTGGGAACTAGAATCTATTCATTTGTCCTCCAGTTGGAATTGCATTTCCACGAACTGCAAGTGGGTTTATATATAAATGTCGTGTTCATTTTATCTATTCAATTTATGATTTTAACCAGAGTTAAACTTCTATTTCAACATCAATGTCGGAATCTAACAGCTCCTGAGAACAAAAATGTACTGTCACTTAGAAATAAAAAATGTTCTAAAAGAAAATAAATTCCCATTGGTGGTATTATTATTTCCTCAAATTGACGCCGCAACCAGATGCGGCTTCTCAGCGGGGGCGGCGTCTATTAATATTTCGAGTAAATACAGTACATCTAATTGCTTGGAAGGTCAAAATATTTTTTGGCAGATCAAAATTTGCCATGATCGGCCAAAAAAAAACAACTATGCGGCAGGCTAAATATTTTTTCTATTTCGAGCCCTGATACTATTTTATTTACATACAAATTTCTTACCAAAAGTTAACGACCAATGTTCCCTTTGTATTGAAGGTCTTTAAATCACCTGCCGTTTAAACAGCCTCTCTGGACTCGACTAAATGTTGCTATATGTACAATGCATGATAATGACTAATGTCAGTTTGTTTTCAAGACATTTAGATCTCAAGTCTTTTTAAATTTCATTTAGTTCCTCAAGTAAACTTGCTTATTTTCTTTGACCATATATGGTAAAGGCCAGTGTTCAGTTTTTTCAGTACTTTTAGTCAAAAAATCTCCAGAAGCAATGAGGTAGATCATCTTCATTATTTCGGTCTTCTTATCAGTTACAACTAAAGCAACTTATTAGTTTTTTTTCGATGCTTGTACGAATGTAAGATAGACGCAGTGAGACAAGGATTGGGTTGATAAGAGACTGGAGATGAAGTAATGTCAGACAGATAAACATGGCAACGTACTTAAAATCACTCGTGACATCTTTACCTGCGACGGCTATTATCACTGCGACTATAATAAAAGGAACGTAAAAGAGAATCGACACGATCACTAATATGGTCATCATGAACACTCGCTTGTACTCTTTGAGTCGTTCTTGTTGTTGTTGTTGTTCATCGGGCTGTAGAACTGATTCTTGCTGTAGAGTGATGGTTCTACGCTGGCGGTAGGCTGTCACTTGTACTTTGATAGAGCAGTACAAAAAAACTAAAGTGCTGAGGCCTAGAACTACTATGGGAGGAGCTAATGAGAGTTTGCTCTTGTTATTTACTGCAAGAACTGTGACAATCAACAAAATTGCTAGACTTACTGCCCAATAAATCATTGTTCCTAACATGACTCTTTTGGCTGTAACCATCTTACGGTAAAAATTGGGATGTTCGATAGCAAGATATCTTTCTAAACTCATCAATGTTAACGTGCAAATTGACAGACCCGTGAAGGTCAAGACTGACAGAATATAAAGCGTGTAGGTACAAGGCGAATAACAATTGTTCACAAGGCAACTCTGGTAATATGAAAAGATGGGTTGAACCAACAAACCCACTAGAAAATCAGTCACAGCTAAAGCCACCAGTAAAATATTAAACGAAGAGGATCTAAGATCTTCATCTTCAAGAATTGACCAAGAAATCAGCGCATTTATAACGACTGTTAGAGGAGACGCTACACCATTGACAACAGAAAGGACGGTGCGAGTCGGGTTGACTGAATCAGGTATATTAGTCATGTTGTAGGGATCAATGGCTATCATGGACAAGAAGCAAAGAGCAGGACTACTACTTACAGACACAGCACTCATGCTTGAGAAGTTATATGACATGACAACGAACGTTGAAAATCACTTTTACAGACTTACGAGCCCTTGATTCGTTTTCCCTTGAACTGGACTAGTACTGTTTGAGGTTGTGTCCTAAACAAGGCAGAGCAATGAACATGAATGGACTATATATAAAAACCATTTCCGGCTTTCAAATGTTGACTCATTTGTTTGAGAAAAAGTTGAGCTTTCATAGTATTTTTTGCGGAAATAAGGGATTCTAATGGACGATTCAATTTCTATACTCCTTTCTGCTACAGATCCTTTATATTCATTCCTTTGATTTAATCAGAATATCGTAAACTATCTCTATCTCGGTCCAAGCTATATAACTGGTACATATCACGTAGAATAACGTCCACTCGATAATACTGAATTGACTTCGGTGCTGGTCTTTCGACGTGTCTTTTCCAAAATTGTGAAACCATTCAAGATTACGAAGCAATAAATGTTTGAATGCGAAAGCTTCACGTTGATATTGAAGTTGAAAGAGGTTGTCAGTTCAAGGGTATATACAAGAAAGTAAATCAAGAAACGAAGTGAAGATTGTTATATAAGTCAGAAACGAAATTTCCCCTGTTTAATAAAAACGAAATTTTGCTCTACTGATGGACTCACAAAAAAACAAGAATATTTTTAAATTTTCTATGACGGGTAACAATTAACGTTAAAAATACTTTATAGACTTACGTGCGCTTGATTCGTTATCCCTTGAACTGGACTCTTTGAGATTGTGTCCTAAACAAGGCAGAGCAATGAAGAGCAATAAAACCATGTCCGGCTTTCAAATGCTGACTCATTTGTTTGACAAAAGTTGGTCTTGAATAGTACATTTTGCGGAAATTAGGGATTTAATGGACGGTTATTTAAATTTGATTCAATTTATCTTCCTATGCTCATGGTAAACTACCCACGGTCCAAGCTTCATCACGTAGAATAACGTCGATAATGCTGAATTGCCTTCAGTTGCTGATCTTTCGAAATGTCCTTTCCAAAATATTGTGAAAACATTCAAGATTACGATACAATAAATGTTTGAAAGCGAAAGTTTTGTATTTAAAAAAGCCTTTTGTTGCTGTTTTACGTCCGTTTGATTTTATTCTTATTCGAGTTTGTAATTTCACTGCTTATTTATTATTTTATTGTATTCTGTTTAGCTCATCTTATGCAAAGCATTCTGTTGTCAGTGGGTTGACTTAACGTGTTTTCGTTTGGCTACTGTGTCTACTGTGCTTTTGATGGTGTTGGATGTTGCTTGGTGGAGTATAGATGGTAGTTGGAGTTAGTAGCACAGTGCATTTATCCGAGAATATCGCTCCGGACGCCTCAGAAGACTTGGTATTACTTTTTATATCCCAACAAAATATATTTAGATGCATCCATTGGTCCAAAGGCGTCACGTGGTACATTGTTGCGGATATCAGGCTGATATTGTCCGCGTGAGTTTTCAGATTTGTTTTTGACAAAAAAAGCTATGGAAAATGATCAAAACTGCTTTTTAAAGAGCTCTGATGATGAGATTAAAAAACTAGTTGACGAATCGACACCTTGGAATACAAAGGAGTCGACTAAGTACGCTGTGAACGAATTTTACATTAAGAAAATTACTATCAAATGTTAAGTGCCTGTTTGTTTACAAAAATTTTCACTCGATAGTTCATTCTGCGTCTCTTAATGTCGCAAGTTCTGCTTTTAATGGCTATCATTTTTACTTCTGCTCAAAGCAAAATAATTGAAGACACTTTTATTTTGTAAGTTTTGCGTCTAAAAATACTTGTAATTTACGCTAAACGCAGCAATAAATTTGTAGTTCTTAAATTTGCAGAAAGTATTGCCGCCTTGCTCAATCACTTTTCAATGATTAACCAACCAAATAACGAAAAAATTACTGTGAACAAATCACATCGTATGTAGATTTTACCTTGCACTTAAATGGCTTTTCTTCATCAACACAAAAAAATGAATTCGCTTCTCGGCCAAATGTTCATTTCTTGGACCATTTCTTATCCTTGGACATTATCAGCCAGATTTCCCAGCCGCCAGAAGGGGTTTATTTACTAAATATCATTATAACCTATGAGAAAATATGAACCAATAATAACATTTTTGTTAAAGTATGATCGATTTGTTTTAAAAAAACCAATAGTTTTATTTGGGATTGTAAAATTGGTAATCATTCGAGTAATTCGTGTCGAATCAATCTTTTACAATGTATAAATGATGGTTGGGAAAAAAGATGATTTATACACATCTAAAAGGGACAAATGACCATTGTAGTGATCTTGTGGTTTTCGTCGCAGATGTCATCCCTCGGTAATCTCTCTGCGTCCGTCCTTTGTTTTACAGCTTTTTTTAGTTGTGTAATTAGGTCGAACTATCATGTAATCACATGTTTTGTCATAGGCTACCCAACTATTGCTTGAGAGAAAGAAAAGAATGAAATGCGCACGCTTTTACGCTAGTACTAGTACCGGCGCGCGCTGTTAGTGAAATGTGGATTACCTGTGGTATTACGTCACGATCCCGTGACGAAATCAAACGTGTTCAAAATCGCGGAGTGGAGTTTGATTTCGAACCAAAATTGCACGACACAAAGTTCAATTAGCACTTAATTATATCCATTATGAAATCTATAACACATTGTACAGCATAAAATTTTATTAATTCGTACAAATACAATATTTGCTTCTCAAAGGAGTGTGATTTAGAGTTAAAAATGGTGCGATTTAGTCTGAAATCAACCTGCTAAGAACCAATCAGATTGCAGGATTCACTCGTGATTTCAAAATGGATATGATTAATTCTAATATTTATAGTACAAAGTATCGTTAATTTTGTGTGTGTGTTATCCTGCCAAAATCCCCTTAAGGATTTCTTCATGATTTTATGAAGGCAACAGTTGATAAATAAATTATATTTGTCAGTACAAGAAAAATTTTTAATTTCCAGAACGGACATCAACGGTTATTTTAGCGGCACAGGAAATCTAGGTTGTTTTTAATCGAGTCTTTACCAGTGATTAAGAGTAAAAACTATTCTGAGAGAGATGTGCTAGAGCCTACGATAGGCCGCTACAGTAGGTCTGCCACGAGAATGCATTTCAAATTTGCACTTTCGCTATTTGCTTTTCTCGCATTAAGCGGACGTCGCTTCTCCGATTTTGCCCCTCAGTGAACACCTTAAATTTATCCAAGACGCAAAAGAGATCTACAATACCAACTTGGGCTGGTAAATTTGTGATCCAATATCTAAATGAATCTCAAATATCAAATAATGCATGTGAAATCTTTGAACACTGAAAGAACATTCCAGTTACCGTGATATCAATAGACACAAATATCATACAAAAACTCTTGAATACCAACATCTACAGATCCAAAATAGAGTCAATTTCGTATGAGTGGGAAACGTACGGTAGAAATTACCGCACGGTTACCGCACAGTTACCGGACCTGGCCTGCACAATTTTTGTGAAGCAATGAGACACTAGAATTTGGTTACAGTACGAAWCCACAGTTTTTTCGTGCAATCTTGCGCGATCAAACGCCTTCTCAAACGTAATGCACCTATCAGTGTTAAGCCCGGATTTGTTATAGATTCTGAATTCCAATTATTGAAATATGCGATCTCATACCCCAGTATTCGGATACTTGATTCCAAAGTTATATACTTTTGCAAAATTCTTCGAAGTATAGAGGTTTTAGATTAGTTGCGTTGAACGTGAACTGATCGTTCATACAAATCTATAATGACTTGATTAAAAACACAATTAAGTTAGCAAGAAAAAAATCCGTGAAGCTTTTATGTCAAATGGTAATTTTGTTAAAAAAATGCTTCTAGAGAATCCTAGACTTAATATTTGGCACTATTACTTACATTGAAAATTATAGAATGTTCGAGAATGCTCAAGCAACATATTACAAGTTATATACATGGTTACAAGGACTTTGTAGCTACTTAAGTGTCACGCATTTAAGCCTGGTTTTCACCACGTTAAACTACGACTTAAATGTATTTTCATTGACGAGACACTGCATCTGCGTTTGCGTTTCGTTTTCACTGACGTAGCACCGAAGTGAGAGCAAACGCAGCCCCAAACTTAAGCGCAAGAGAAGGAAACATTTTGCTTTTAAGTTTGGGTGTGCGTTGGTTCGGTTTTCACCTTTCACCGTGTTTATGAGCCTTGCKCACTTGCGCTTAGCATTGCGCTTAGGTTTAAGTCGCAGTGAAAACCAGGCTTCACGCTCGCCAGGCTGATAATCTAAGCTCGATGCTCAATTTATAGTGTCCTTGTCCTTGAGGCATAATAATTGTTCAAGTGTCTGCATTTTGATATTAATTCATCTCTTTTGGTAAGGAGTTCTTCTTCATTAGAATGTGTGTCGTGCTACAAACTGTGCATTCAAAACTAACACGAAATGTGTGTAAACCATATGCTACATCACGTGATATATTCCCTTTTTGAAAGAAAACAAGAGAAAAAATACAATGTTTTTCTACACTAATTTCAACAAATAAAAAGGATGTTCTTTGATATTGGTAATATCAATGTTCAACATAGTCACATAGTTTCATAGTCACTGAGGTACATTGGTGTAAACGTCTCCTCCACTGCGCGTGACTTGATTCGAGGAGGCTGTTTCTTGCGTAGGAGTAGCTGCTGTTTGTGCTTCCTGGGTTGATTTTGATGTCTTGTCAGATTCTTCAATGTGTTGGTGACCATCTAAGATTTCTTGAGACTCGATATGTCAATGGGGTGTTGGCTTAGTCTTCCTTAGATGTCTTCGGTTTCTTCTGTAAACGCGTGCATCCTCTGTTCTGATGTTTAATGCTCGAAAATGAACTTGGGTCTTCTACTTCTCCCTTGGTCGATTGTTTTGTCCTATTATTAGGCTTTGGCTTTATTCTTGTAGTATCTCCTTGCTGTAGGGGTTGTAACTCTTTCGCGTGGCGATTATAGGCGTTTGACTGTATAACTTTGTGCTGTAGCAATTTGTCTCGCGTGCTGTGTGGTATTTCTGGTCTGAGTAGTTCTGCTGCAGTAGGTACAAGTGTCATTGTGCGTCGTCCAAATAGTCTCTGCACCGGAGAGCAACTCCCTCGGTCGGCGTGTTTCTCCAGTCTAACAATGCTGTGTAGAAATCTGAACAAGCTCTTTTGCTCTTCTTTAGTAGTCTCTTTGCTGTCTTGACTGCATTCTCGACATGACCATTGCTTTGCGCGTATTTCGGAGAGCTTGTGATTGTCTTAAACTCATACTCATCAGCGAGCTCTTGAAATTCGTTCACTGATGAACTCTTCTGGTATGCCATGCGCATGAAAAGTTTCGTTTCAGCCTTTGTATAATTGTTTTACTGACTTCCTTTCAAGCTTGTCAACTTCAAAGTATCCTGAGTAGTAGTGCAGCGTACAGAGATAATCTTTTTGATCTAGCGTGAAAATATCGCAGCCAATCTTCTGCCTGGGTCTTTGTGGTACTTCGTGTACGATAAGAGGTTCTTTTTGTTGCTGTGATGCGAACATCCTGCAAATTYTGATTTGGTTCTTCATTGCCAGAATAAAGATACATGGAACCACACATTTTTCAATAGAGAGTGAGGRTTTGAAGGTGAGAGCACTTGACTAGTTTTGAGCTTTTGGAGGTCTTCGTCAGCCAAAGGCGGTTTGTGAGCAGTATTTTCTTTTCCATCTCTTTTCAGCTGTTTTATCTGTGCATCAAGTACTTTCTTTGAAAGAACAAAACGGGGATCTCTGCCTATTTTTATTGGAATGTTATGGGGAGGGCTGTTTAGATATCTTTCGATTCCGTTTCTAAGCGAKAGAAGTGTTGCTCGGCTGTAGTGGTCGCCATTTTGGCTTCTGGCCTCGGCATAGAATTTTCGCAGATTTATGTGGAGTTCTTCAAAGCTCATGTCTTCAATGTTTGCTTGTATGCCTTTAGCTTCACTCCAGCCTGAAAATGTATAATAAAGCAATAAGTTTCCTCCAATATTTGACTTGTTTCGGTTTGTTTACATTAGTATTTTAATGAAGTGCGACATGCGTAAAGTACATGAATTGATGTTTCTTGTAAATATTTTTTTCTATGTTCAAAAATGCTCAAATGCTACGTGAATTTAACTGCCTAGAATAAATTATGCTAATAGCAACTAGAAACTAACCTTTAAAAACCAAAGCAGCCCACTTCGTGTTTTTTTTGTTCCGGTTGCTTGAGCATCTTGTAACAGTTTGTCAAGCTCTTCGCTCCCAACCTCAGCAAATCTTGCTTTTTTCGCGACATTGGGGTCCTCATTCGATAGATACTGYTCATATTGTTCGAGTTCTAAACATGCATTTAAAAGTTCTTCATCGCTGTTTTGAACATTATTATCGAAATCAAATTCAAAAGTAGGTAATTCAATGTCACGCAGCGAATCCATTTCTGCGGAGGAGGGATAAGATCATCCTTCGCATCCGTGTGTTTACCAGTGAAATAAACAATAACATTTGACCGATCAGAGAGCGCGTACTATGATAGCTATAATATAAAAGGGTTTCTTGGATATTGACACTAGAGTTTTGTTTTCTGTGTATAGAGTGTGACTTTGCATCCGTATATACACTGGTGATTGTGCTCGAGGCCGAATACTTGAGCCAAGAGTTCCTTTTCTATTTGCGGGTAATTTTGTTCTKCAGGTGTAAGGGCGCGACTTGCATAAGTTATAGGRTGATCATCTTGYGTCAAGACAAATCCTATTCCCTTCTGTGATGCATCTCCACTTCCCTCTGTCGTTTTGGATGAATCGAAGAACAAGGATGGCTGCTGATGAAATCGTGTTCTTGATATCATTGAATGATTGTTGTGCTCTTTGGTCCAGACAAACTGTACTTCCTTATGCGTGAGACGTCGTTGTGGTTCACACATCTGAGAAAGATCTTTAAGGAACTTTGAGAGGTATTTAGTCATACCTACTAGGCGTTGTACTGCTGCGACATCCTCTGGTCGTTTCATGTTCAATATGGCTTTGATTTTATTTGGGTCGGGCTTCAAACCTTCACTTGTCAGACGGTGTCCGATGAATGTGACTTCATCACACTTGAATTCGAACTTAGCTTTATTGAGCTATTGGTTGAGGATCAAYTCATAGTCGTATGTCTCCATTCTCTTTTCGGAACTTTGACAAACTAGACACCAAATTGGTAGGCGTGTCTACTGGACTTATGACCTGACGTTTGGTTTGTCGATSTATTTCTTCTTTCAAATCAGTCTTCATTGATTRATTTCGTGATGACAGTTCCTTTAGGTAGTAGTTTGATCGGTAAAATATTACAAGAGGCTCCTCAGTCAACTAGCATCTTGACTTTCTGTTTTCCGATCATCATAGTTGCAAAAACTCTGTTGTTTCTTTTACCTTGTTTAAATCAGTGTGGGTGACAGCTTATACTTCATCATCACTTGARTATTCATCACTAAAGGCATTGACTTGTTTTGGTCTAGGTCTAGATTTTCTTTATTGCAGTTTTTGCATATTTTTCCATAAGCAGGGCATTTTTCTCTCTTTTTGTCGTGATTGTGACCCCAAAATATAAAGTCCTTGATCATATCTGACTTGTGGTCATTGTGTTGTCGTGGATTTGTAGATTTCACTGTCGACGTCGATACAAAGTTAACTTCTGGGGGTGGGGGTGCGGTGTTGCTTGTCATGGCTTTGAGTTGCGATGATGTTGCTTCTGCTGAGCGGCATATTTTCATACACTTATCAAGCGTAAGTTCAGGCATTTGTAGTAGTTTCTTTCTAATATCGTTGTCGCGGAGACCATTTGTTTTTCGGCGGCGTCTTTGAATGGCAAGCCGTTGTGAATTGCGAGCGCTTCTTGACCAAAACATGTTATGAATGTGGCGACCCTRTATTCATCACGGTACTCTTTTAGCTTCGTGACAAGCTCGTAAGCGTTCCATATTTGTTTCCACTGCTTCTAGTTTGCAGATAGATTGCCTTTTAAGTTGATCTTTGACGGTGTCGGCACATTGCTTGTACAAATGGCGTTTGCTCGAATGGCGGCGTTTTCCTCTGAGTTGGGCATTTCGCTCAGTTGTATTCCGACTTGTGTTGTGATTTCGCTTTGAATAATCTTCCTGATAGAGATCTTCAGTTCCTACAATTCTGACACCATGTATCGTTCGGGTTCTAACAGTCTTTATTCATTACACTGTSCTACAAACTGTTCATTCAAAACTAACACGAAATGTGTGTAAACCACATGTTACATCACGTGACAGAATGTAAATTTTTTCGGCAAGGTGCAGGTTGCACCTTGATGGACGTCAATTGCAAGTTATATGTAGGGACTTCTAGAAACGTACATAAAATTAACGTGATTACTATACACGAAGGGTCTTCATTTATTGATGTTCTTTTTCACCTGAAGATCTTCTTGATGTTTTTGGCGGCGGAGTGCAGCTTTCATTACTTTTTTYGGAGTTGCAAAGATTTCTCAGATTCTTTTCTGTTAGAGAAATGGAGGGATGGCTTTTATCATACATGCTTTCAAAGATAGCCAAAGCTTTCTGGTGGACGGTTCTTGCCTCATCGAATCGATTTAGAATTCTGTATGCATTGCCTAAGTTGTTCAAGGTCTCACCTACCGACGGATGGTTTTCACCGTATGCARCTTTTATAACCTGAAGTGCCTTTTCGAAATATGTGRTTGCTTCGTGAACTCTCTCTTGTTTCTGATAAGTACTGCCTAAGAAGTTCATGGTGTCACCCACTGACGCGTGTTTTTCGCCGTAAGCAGCTGTGTAGATGGCAAGGGCTTTTTCGTGATACGTTATTGATTCCTGCAATTGGCCAAGTTTGCAGTATGCACTACCATAGTTGTTCAGAAGGTGAGCCACTGATGGATGGGTTTCACCATAMGCGGCTATTTTGATAGGTAAGGCACTTTCATAATAKCTGATGGATTTCTGTGGTTGTCCTTGTTCTTGGTATGCAATGCCTAAGTTACCCAAGGTCCGAGCTACCGATGTATGGTTTTCTCCGTATGCAGCTGTGTAGATGTCAAGGGCTTTTTCGTAATGTGTTATTGATTCCTGTATTCGTCCTAGTTTCAGGTATGCAGTACCGAAGTTTTTCATGATGTCACCCACTAGTGGATGAGATTCACCGTACGTTGCTGTGCTGATGGCTAGGGCTTTCTCGAAGTATGTTATTGATTCCTGAAATCGTCCTAGTATCCGATATGCAATGCCTAAGTTGCTCATGGTCTCACCTACCAATAGACTCTTCTCACCATACGAAGATGTATTGATAGCAAGGGATTTTCCATAACAAGTTATTGATTCCTGAAGTCGCCCCAGTTTCTGATATGAAATGCCTAGCTGGTTCATGGTCTCACCCACCGATGGATTAATACCAGTTATGTTAAGATGTGAAATATAGTCGACGCCATTCGTACCCATTAAAAGGATTAACACTTCTCTTGCTTTAGAGCATATTGACTGAGATACTTGTAATGCTAAAAGCACTTKCAAAAAATGCTGTGCACTTACAAATATGTAGTGTTTGGATAAAACGAGCGACAAATTGTAAAGAACATTGCAAACATGCTCATCTAGAACATTCTCGGTTGTGGACTCTTTCATGACGTTTTTTACGTCGTCTGCAATTTTCTTYAAGTGACTTATAAGTTGTCTTGTATTGGCCATGGTATTGACTTCTCGAGAGTCTAGAAGAGAGAATGCAGAAACCACGGTAAATATGTCAACTGTRCTTCTTTGTGCCATTTYTCTATTCGTTCGCAAGCAGTGGTAGACCACCTGATGTATGCTAATCGCCTGTCTTCTTTGGTCCAACGAACGCACTAAAGATGACGAACAAACTCTTATACCAACCGTATTTTTGTCTTCGTCAGGCATGCACTTSGTAACATAATCCACAAYATACTCCAAAGGAATGGGATCTGGTGCAATCACAGATAGAAAACRAAATGCATGAAGCATAATCTCTTCAYTAATCTCTCTTTCGATGGCTAGATTCACTGCAGCWGTCATTGKYTTTTTGTACACCAAACTTGTACTCTTGTACACTGTTTCTAGGTTTTCGCGTTTACGCTTAAGATCCCTCAGACACTGAAGCCACGTATATTTGYTKTTGATGGYGCGGACACTTCGCACRTAAACTGCAGTAGAAGATAAAGCAAGTGGTTGATGRTCTAAGGCTTCGGATACTTTTGCCATCATGCCGTTTTCTGCATCAGCATATCCAGATATTTTAGAAAGYAGTTCAAGTGCGTCCTCCTCTKCTATGCCAGAACTGAGTGAGACATGGTGGTAGTGAGAGCCGACACAAATAGAATTGCTGTCTTGGGTAGTAACAAGAATMTTACMCTCACCATGAKTCTTTTCTCCGCCTTGAGGCCAGTATTTTGAGAAAGATTTCAGATCGGTCACATTATCTGCAATGATGCACCACGTCGAATACTTGGCCACTTGCTTACTAGCAAGACTCCTTARTTGTAGAATTTGTTCTTCCTTTTCAAGGTTTTTTGATGTAGTAATATTAGTTATAGAATCGGGATAACAACTGAGTCTCTCAGTAAATGTCATGTATGAATCTAACAAAGTGTCMTTGTTGGATGCATCAAGCGTCATCACAAACGTTAATGACCCTTTGGTRWGAYCATGATTGTAGCACATCTCACCAATATGCCTTGCCATCACGCTTTTCCCAGAACCGGGATTACCAGACAAGTAAACGACTGTCGTCTCKCCCTTTTTTTCTCTTGATAACCGTTGCATCTCTTGGTATATCGTTTCAACCTCTTTCTTCCTGTAAATTGTGTCATGGGAAGGATGCGGAGGCAGAATACAAAAGGAATTTGGGTCTGCGTTTCGTTTCTTTTCGTCTTGTAACTCTTTTTCCACGGTCTTTAGTTCTTCTGCAGTTTTCTTTAGTTTATCTTGGAATTTGGTAACGTCTTCTGTGGGAAATTGTTTCTGGTTTTCAATTTCTTTAATTAATGTAGTATCAAGCTTTAAAGATGAAAATGCTATCTTGATCTTTTGTATACAAGTTCGAAACTCAGCTTCACTCGTCTTTCCTGTTTTATTGTGCGCCAATTCATTGCGAATTTTTCGAACTTCATCCACGCTATTTTTGATCACCATGTTTAATGTTGGTCCCACACAGTCTGAGTAAAGTATTGCATAAAATAGGCAAGTGCAATCCCATTCCTTTCTATCTCCACTTGACATTAACCCCAGAAGACGCTTGTTTCTTATACGATTCCTCGGTGACTCCATGYTATAAAAGAAGGTATAACTAWTAGGCGTGTCATCCCACTGGCCAGGAGTAGCTGTGTATAGTGCATCCCATTCTTGTTTAAAAATCTTTCGTAGGCTTTGAGGAACGATGTCGAAGACGATGTAACACAACCTGAAGAAGTTGAGCTGTTCCGGTTTGAATTCCATGGTATCTGTATATTTTGTGAAAAAAGGAATCAATTTTTTCTTATAATTGCAGACTCAAATAAATCATCCTAGACCATTTTGACTCTATCAGACCGATATTTCGGCATAAGCGGGCATCTTTAGGTTGAAAACGTTACAATAGCAAGAAACAACAATTTGAGCGCAATAATACAAAAGAAGGAGCGCACTTAGGACTAATCACTAATCAAACTTTCAAGCTTTGAAAAATAGCTCGATGATAGAATTCTACCATTGTCTCTATTAAACAAAGAGTTTTTTGGGGGCCTTCATGACATGCCTCCTCCCACTTCCTGTGATGTTTCCTTGACTCTTTTCCCAGTATCGCTGCTTCACTCCAGTTCCATGTCCTGTACTATCATGCTATTCTTTCATAAAATGCATAATTATTCATACGATCTGCATAATTCAAACGGAAAGACAGACACAAAGAAATTTACCCCTTTCAAAATTTCTTCATCCGCCCATAATAAGTAGATTCAGCTTGAAAAAATAGTTTGATGAGACTGATGAATTATGTATTTCATACCGTGATCATACCGTTCTTATTCATCCATCCACGTTAATTATGATCCATCAGAATATGCCAGTGCATAGGGCTTCATCTTCTCTATATGGAATATAAAACAAATATTGTCTTATTGAGACCATAATAGTAGAAATAGTTCCAGAAAAATATATCAGAAGAATTTAATTCGATAAGGCTGGAATGAAGGCCATGATAAATCTACATAATCTCTTTATGCCTAAACGTAAACTAAAAGATACTGTAAGAGTCAGTTACCGAGAACCGAGGCATTATGCTATGTACAGCCCAAAGGACAACGTGCGAGGTAACTAACAAACTTATTTTCAAATTCAGGGGGTTTTCGTAAAAAAATGAGTGGACTAATTTTTTGCTTAGTTGGGATTCGAACAATAGAATCCTCTCCTCTCGACACTTTTCATGGCCTCTTGAAATTAGTTTCCTGTTCATGCGAGAACGTGCAATCGAAATTTCAATATGGTTATCAAATATTTTTAACAGTTCGCGAGCACGTCTATATTGTCTTGGAATACATTTGTTTGGATATATTATGTAATTCTAGAGCTCATTAATAATTCATGAACTATAAGTCCAATCGGCATGGAACTATTGGGTCACATGATGGGACTTTATGTCTCGATAAAGTACAGATGTTTTATTAATCACTTTTATATCAGATATATAGAACTGATGTTTTATTAATCAGTTCTATATCAGATATAAAGGAACTGATGTTCAAGTTCACATATCAAACTTAATGGTGACAAAAAGTCCGTGATCACTCAAGCGTACCCTGACAGTCCATTCGACGAAAAGAGACCAGATTTCAAGACTTTTTGAAGAAATGCAATAATATTAAAGACAATCCTAAAAACCTACCATCGAATCTAAGAAACAGATATATATGTGACCTTTCTGTGTATTGTTCGTGAAAAAATTTGAAAATCCAAGTATGTATTTTCGCCTTTGAAGAGTAGTAGTTGATCATCAAAATAGACTGGCGATCCATCTTTTGAACACGGCTCGCTCGCTTCAAAGAAGTGGTTTTTCTGCATAACATATTTAGTTAATGAAAAACCTACCATCGAATTTATGAAATAAAATATATATTTGACCTTTCTGTGTATTCTTCGTGAAGAAATTTGAAAATCCAAGTATGTATTTTCGCCTTTGAAGAGTTGGAATTGAGCATCAAAATAGCCAGGCGATCACAGGTAGCCCAAGCTAGGCATTTGCGTACATTTTAGAAATATTGAAAATTTTAACAAAAATAAACATCTCTTCCTGTTTATTGTTTTTTTTTTTACATTTCTGTGAAGTTCAGTAGTATAGTGTGCATTAAAATATACCTCAGGTGCGCAGGTGCGTTCCGTGGGTTCTGGGAATAGTGGGACTGTGGGAATAGTGGGCATAGTGGGTTTGTTCAGGAAGTCACGTGAAGATATAAAAAGTAACTCTCGGGAGATGTAATTCTATCACTACAATGTATTTTTCCGCATTTGAGACTTTGGAGAGCTTTGAACAGTTTATTTTCAACAATGAAATCCCAAGTGAATTGGTTCCTGCTGCCGTCGATCGTTTTATGGACTTGACATTGACACCAGAGGTGAGCTTGATATTTTTTTTGTAATCCAACGATATTATGATAGTCATCTGACTCGGAAACACCGGACGAAAAAGATAAAGCGCTTCAAGAATTGGTTGATTCCTGCTTGGAACAAGATACAAAGTTTGAAGAAGTTTTAAAGTTTGTTGATCAAGGCAATGAATTACTAGAAATGGGTACTTCGGAAGAAAACCAATTGACAACAAAATCTTCTTTGGAAGAAAAAATGATCATCAATGAGGTATCGGATGCCAAGAATGGGGATTACGCTGATACAAACTAGGCAGTTTCAGAAAAAGATCAACAATCACCTACTCAAGATGGAAGAGGTAAAAAGCGCGCATTGAAACAGGACAAAGAAAATGTTCCTCCAAGAAAGAAATTCCGTTGCACTATGTGCGAAAAATCTTTTACTCGTTCCTATGACTTGAGGCGCCTTGAGAAAAGTCACCAGGCAGTGGAAAAGAAGTTTGAATGTTCATATTGCGAAAAGAAATTTCAGCACAAATTCCACAAGAACAGACATGAGCGCGAAGTCCACAATATGGATATCAAATGTGATAAATGTCGAATGGCGTTTGATAATAAACGTGCTTTCAACAAGCATGTTCAGACTGCACACAAGAAAAGAAAGCTTTAGGAAAGTAATTTAGGTAAGTGCTTAATATAATATTGTTTGTAATCAAGTTCCAAGTGCTTGAGCAGTAAAAACGATCGATTCACACTCCAATGCTTTATATTTTCTCGTAGATCAAGTTACTGAGAAAATAACCCCCAAAAGACAGAAAAATCTTCCTTCAATAGCTCCTTTTCCTGTTAATGAAGATCCTCGTGATATTGAAGTTCTGCCAGTAGAAAATCGAGGTGATTCCGAAGTTTACCGCCAGAACTGGAACCATATCCGGACCCGATTCAGTTGCAGAAATCGTCTTGCCGATTGCTATAACTTTCGCCTCTACTCTCTTCTTCCTGGCGAGCTGTTACACCACCTAGATGATATTTTCAACGACCAGAATTCAGTCTTCAAAATCAATGTTGCCTTTGGATTCATTTTAAGAAACAACGAAACCAACGAACTTCAGTACTACTACACTTCAAGAAACAACAACTAAGTGTTTGATCAACCCTTTATTATTGCTACAAGAGCCAATTTGGAAAACTTACGTGAGGATTTAAAGAATCTCGATGTTCTCAGCTGGGCCCAACAGCTTCGACCCAACTCCAAATGGATTGTGGATCTGATCACTAACATGACTTTCTTCGTCACCAAACTTCGAGGGCATCCCATTGGAAGAGGTCGATTCTTACCCCACTACATTGTAGAAAATCGAGGATCCTTTGGATTGGAATCGTCAAACGGGAAGGCAATATGAGGATAATGTGTGCTTCTTCTGAGCATTGGCACTCCTTCGTGGATTCCACACCAAGAATTTTGGAAACAGAAACCAAGAATAGTGTGCATGGAATTATACCTCCAGGTACGCAGGTGCGTTCTGTGGGTTGTGGGAATAGTGGGCATAGTGGGACTGTGGGAATAGTGGGCAGAGTGGGACTGTGGTCGACATGACATCGACCTGACATCGACTCTACATCGACCTGACATCGAACTGACATCGAGCCTACATCGAGCCTACATCAAGCCTACATCGACCTGACATCGACATGACATCGACATGACATCGACATGACATCGACATGACATCGACACGACAACGACACGACAACGACATGACATCAACCTGACATCGACCTCTCATCGATCTGGCATCTACGCCACATCGACTTGACAGACAATAAACATATTTTACCAGTTAGCAGAAAAACACGAGTTGACAAATACGAAATCGTACTGATTTTCGGAGCAAAACATGAAAGCGAGTCCGAGTCCATCGAAGCGATTAAAACTGCTTATCAAGCAAAAATTAAAATTTTCTAGTTACCACTTTTAACAACTTGTCCTTTTTTCAAACAGAATGTAAGATAATATCTGTAATAAATATCTGCGCACCTGAAGTATAAATCATTGTACACTATTCTTGGTTTATGCTTCCAAATTCTTGGTGTGAAATACACGAAGGAGTGCCAATGCTCAGAAGAAGCACACATTATCCTCATATTGCCTTCCCGTTTGACGATTCCAATCCAAAGGATCCTCGATTTTCTACAATGTAGTGGGGTAAGAATCGACCTCTTCCAATGGGATGCCCTCGAAGTTTGGTGACGAAGAAAGTCATGTTAGTGATCAGATCCACAATCCATTTGGAGTTGGGTCGAAGCTGTTGGGCCCAGCTGAGAACATCGAGATTCTTTAAATCCTCACGTAAGTTTTCCAAATTGGCTCTTGTGGCAATAATAAAGGGTTGATCARACACTTAGTTGTTGTTTCTTGAATTGTAGTAGTACTGAAGTTCGTTGGTTTCGTTGTTTCTTAAAATGAATCCAAAGGCAACATTGATTTTGAAGACTGAATTCTGGTCGTTGAAAATATCATCTAGGTGGTGTAACAGCTCGCCAGGAAGAAGAGAGTAGAGGCGAAAGTTATAGCAATCGGCAAGACGATTTCTGCAACTGAATCGGGTCCGGATATGGTTCCAGTTCTGGCGGTAAACTTCGGAATCACCTCGATTTTCTACTGGCAGAACTTCAATATCACGAGGATCTTCATTAACAGGAAAAGGAGCTATTGAAGGAAGATTTTTCTGTCTTTTGGGGGTTGTTTTCTCAGTAACTTGATCTACGAAAAAATATAAAGTATTGGAGTGTGAATCGATCGTTTTTACTGCTCAAGCACTTGGAACTTGATTACAAATAATATTATATTAAGCACTTACCTAAACTAGTCATAGCTACCGCTAAGTGCCAACGAGGAGATGCTTTCCAGAAATTGTCACAAAGGGGATTTAGCGCGACATTAAACAAATAGATGAAATATGTCATATAATTAGAAACTAAGAAAATAGTTAGTGTCATGTGAAGTTTATTGTCTTTTCGATCTTATCCTGGATGCCTCCATGATGTCAGTTTTTTAGAAGCGTCAGATTTTTATGTAGACTCGGTCAAGATGTCATTGCAATGTTAATGTTTTGTAGTAGCCCAGACTCGCAAGTCGCTTGCGAGTCGTCGAAGTACTGTTGAAGTACTGAAAAGACCATAAACGGTGAGTAAATTAGGTCTCTGTTCCTTCATTTTGTTGTATTGACCTGTGCACACTTCCTAAGAGTGTTTTTAGTCAATCTTCGAACCAGTGTGTTCAATAAACTTGAGTACCAAAACGAACCAACGCGTTCACGAATAAGCCTCCGTGCCACTGCACTATTTTTTAAAACAAACAGAACTATCTAACAAGAGCACAGAGTACATTTCATTGAATTCTCACATTGAGTTAAAGTACTCATTTATTGGCCAGTGCCATTTCTGATTTACACAACGAACAATTGCTTTCAGAGAATAGCTATCCGAGATATCCATGTTCAGTGGGATG